AGAGGGGCCCGGTCAGGCGGGCAGGTAGCCGCGAGAGGGGCCCAGTCAGGCGGGCAGGTAGCCGCGAGAGGGGTCCCATCAGGAGGGCAGGTAGCCGCGAGAGGGAAGCAGGAAGATCTGAAACGGGCAATATGGATAAACCCATTCACCTAGGAGATGACCCTGACAAACTGCCTCCATACCATCGAGATGAGACACTCAGGGGTTCGTGGGGTCATGAAGATGATAGGATGCAGGCAGAATTTCCTTTAGATAGCCAGGATGACCCTTCTTTGGAGCACGAGCGACTGGACGACTGGGAAAGAGAACGATACTGGAGAGATCACAACTCTGATTATCAGGATGATTCTGTAGATGCATATGACAGAGATGACAGGTTGCAATCCCACCATTCATTGCCACCATTATCTCCCCTACCACCACTACCTCCTTTGTCATCTGATCATGACAGACGAGATTCATGGTGGGATGACTGGAAAAGACCAAGAGAGAGGGAACTAGACAGAGATTTAGATAGGACTGGAAGATCCTCAGACATTTATGATCAAGATTTAGACAGAGAATGGGATAGAGACTGGGATATGAGACCTATGGATGACAGAGAAATGGGGAATCGTGACCTGGATATCCCTCCTCTACCACCATTACCACCTCTTCCACCTCTGGACAGATACCGTGAAGATAGGTGGAGGGAGGATAGGAACAGAGATCATTATGACAGAGAGCTCCGAGACAGGGGGGAGCTGAGGATTCGAGAATATCCAGAGAGATATGACACATGGCGAGAGAAGCAAGACTACCTTCCTGAAAGGACTGATTGGGAGAGGGAACGGTTGTCAGATAGGTGGTATCCAGATGATGGAGACAGACTGCGGTCTTTGGATGATCATTCAGATTCATCCCTTCCTCCACCTTCACATTCCTCTGATATGCTGGGAGCAGATTCAAACCTGGACTCTGACCAGTCCTTGGGAGGAGTGATGGTCCTTAGCCAAAGACAGCATGAGATAATTCTGAAGGCTGCCCAGGAGCTCAAAATGCTTCGGTGAGTTGCCTGGTTCTGTCACTTTGGGTGGCAATCCCATTCTGCGGAGATGGTGCTCCTTTCCTAATTCATTCCTTGATTTATATAGTAATGGCTTCATTTCTTTTTGCCACGGCACGACAGTAGGAGCTTATGTGGAACAAATTATTTGGAGTACCTCCATCACAGCTTTTGTGGATGGACTTTTTTTCTTAAATAGGTGGTTGTCCCTTTCTCTGTGAATATGGCATTTCGTGTTTGTTTCTTTCCAGGAAGAGATCTGTTCACATCACCTTACCAATCTTTTTGTTATCCTTGAATGCACTTGTTGATAATTGCTTTTCAATCTTTTATTAGTGTCAGATGAGCTTGTTGATAATCGCTTTTTAATACTTACCTGTCAAGATCTACATTAATGTAGTTCTTAATTTATGCAGTGGGGCCTATTTAATTTTTGGATGCTGCTTACTTTTTAATTAAAGCATATGTGGTTTTTTTCTTTTTACAACGCTCCCTCATTTGAAATCCAGCATCATCAGTGAATAATTTTGTCAAGTTTGGTTGATCTGAGTTCTGAGAATCAGCATAACAGCAGCTATAACAATCAGGAGTGCAGGAGTTCACCAAGACCATGTTTTAGAAGGCAGCTACTCAACTCTAAGGCTTTAATAGGTGTTTATTTCAAAATAAGTGATAGACTATCCTCTTAAACATCAGAAACACCCTAGGACTCAGTAAATTTAGTAATATTAGAATGAATGGAGCACATACCATCTATCCAAATGCTATCTTTGTGATTTGGTGCATGGGTTTAGGTGCATTAAATGTATTTAAAAAAAAAAAGGAAAGATGAGTTTCTTTGACTATTTTCAGTGAATGAGATCTTTCAGAGCAGATTGTAGAGAAAAGAGGAAGCCTCCTAGAGACAGAGGTTCGTATGGTTCATCCTATTCATGAGTTACTGAGAGATAGCTAAGGACTGGTGTCTAGTAAAGACAGGGGGTTAATTTCATAAGGTATGCTAAAATAACAGGCAATTAAAATGAATGGTTATAATTATTACTTTTACATTAAACCATGTTGAAAGAGACAGAGGCATTTTGCACTTTTCTTGAAGCTGTTTTGTTTTCAGACTTGTAAGATTGCTAAACATCTGTCCCATATGGAAGGTCTTAGTTGCACGCCAAAATGCAAGAAAAATAATTTTTTAAAAAGAAGAACTTTTATTCTGAATAATTTAATCTTTCACTGCAATTAGATTAATTCAACAGGTGTTAGTAACTGTGAGATCTGTATTATAAAGCAATATTTGCAAAAAGTTTGTAGCAACAGATCATTTTCAGCTTGCTGACTTTCCCATTGCTTCAGGTTGCCAGACGTGTTTTGCTGTTTAATGTGACTAGCTGCAAGGCAGTGGACTTAATCTAAGGACCATAGTTCGGGAATCACTGCCTAAGTGAATAATTTACTAGGGCTGAAATATTTAAACACAGAAACTAAAACATTTTATGTAAGTAAGTAGATACATATACCTCTTTCTAAGCCAGTAAAAAGGGGAAATATAAACATGACACTACTGATACTGATTCTTAATTTAGTATGAGAGTAATCTTAAAAATTAGTTACACTGGTACTTCTCATCAGGTTCTAATAAGCAGGTGACCCCAGTCTGAACAGTAGGAACAACTTTAAGGAGACTGCTTATGATATTTTTTTTGAGCTGAGTTATACCAGTAGTCTGGTGCATAACTGCTTTCATCTCCAAAGGTAAAGCCTTCATCTGGCTTTGCTTTTATTGTGTATAAAACAGCATACTCTGAGCTGCATGCTGTTCTGTATTTGTCATCTGGTGTATTTTTCCTAAGCCAGGTGTAAAGATGACCTTTTAAGTGCTAGCAATTGCTTAGTTTACTCTTTGCACAAATGTAGCACTTTGGATTGCTTTCTGTGAGCCAAGTTCCCCTTGCACTGAACCAGATGGACTGCTAGTCAGGATGGCCTTTGTTGTGCCTAGTACAGAGGGATCCCATTCCTAGTTGTTCTTTGGGCACTACATTAAGACACACAATTAATATGAACAAAGAGTTATTAGCAATAAAAAAGCTAGATAAAAAGATGCAAACAAAAACTGAAAGGAAATCATATTGAATAGATAGATCTTTGTAATCCAGTGGTGGCAGTATTCACTACTGGTCCTTGTCTCTGCTCCATAGACTCAGTAGCATTTTGATACATAAAACAAGGAAACGAACACTAACATCACTGCTTCTTTTTTAAATGTTAGGGTCTCTGTTGTGCTTTTTGTAGGCCTCAGTCCTGTTAGTGTGCAACCCAGAGCAAGTCACTGAGAGCACTTAGACACACATCTCCACTGGGCTTCTGGTTTGCAGTAGGTGTTGTCAGAAGCTATAAATCTAACTTTGCTCTTTAAGGTCAAAGTGGAGTGGTTCTGGCCAAGTACAAAAGCATAACTGTATATTGCGGAGGAAATTTGTGGTCAAAAAAGGAGGCAGCTAATATATTAAATACCTTTATGGTTAGGTGAATGTGAAACAGGGATTTCTGAATCATAGCGTTGGTCATGTAAAGCCTGCTCTGTCCTTTTCTTCTTTGGACGTGGCCCCTAATGCTAGCGTAATATGTGGCTTTCACTGTGAGCGCTGATTTCTTTAATTTTTCATTTAAGCTACGGACTGATAACACTTTCTCGTGATTCATGTGCAGAGAGCAAAAAGAACAGCTACAGAAGTTGAAGGAGTTTAAACCTGACATTTCCACACAGGAGTCCCCTAGATCACAGAACACAAGCACAAGGCCGGGTGCCTTTCAGGTAAATTCATCTTGTGTTAACTTAATAACATGCTGGTAGCAATTACTATTAATGTGTATGTCAGATCAGTTCTGCAGTCTGATGGTCAAACTTCTCTGTGGAATGCCTCCCCAGCAGCCCTTACAACCTCATCGATCTTCTGTTGAGGCAAAGCAACTTCATAGTTTCTTTAGATTTTCCAAAGCCTTTCTTATTCAGTCCACTGTGTCTTCTGAGCATGACCCATTGGGGACAGTAGCTCATGAGGCTCAACAGCCTAGACTGCTGTGGGATGATGTGCAAGAAACAGTGAGCTCTTCCAAAATGGGCATAAGGCTCATGGGAAGACCCTTCTGTTCCCTGCCTATCTAGGTTCTGATACTGTCTTTAATTCTGATCTCGCTCTGCTTTTCCTACTTTAAGAGCTCTCTCCTCTTTGAAGAGGTTAAAGGGAGAAATTTGAAGATTGGTCCATCAAAAACTAGGGTATTTCAATGTAGAGTGGGCATTAGCTTTCTGTTTGCTGTCTTTATTAGGAATTCTCATTACCCCCTGGAATATCATAAAGTGCATGGAAGCTCACATTTCTGTACTTCCGTGACTTCATCTCCTATTGTGATGCAAGTTATTCCTCTGCTGCTTAATTTCCTGGTTGATTCTGGGAACAATTCTTAGCTGCTTATATTTGGTTTTTTGATAATTCATACCCGGTTAGAAACCAGCTGAACTTCTGCAGTCACTCAGATTTATAAATCCTTCCTAGAACAAATAAACAATTTTGTTAAATGTATGTTGGAGGAGATACCGGAGTCAATGCACGGTCTTTATTCTGCATCACGTCTTAACCCCAAAGTTACTGGTACCAATAAATTTAGCTGTACTGACCTCTGGGTCTGACGTTTAGCCAGACCAAGCTTTGTTTGTCCCTCCCTCCAGAGAAGTGTTATGCAGTCAATGAGGCACTACAAGTTTTCTTTTTGCCTAGTTGATCTCTTCCTTGTTTACAGTGTCTATAAAGTAAAATAATGGAACAGATTTGCTACTGAGAACTGCAGATATGTTGATGCCTTTAGGAAATGACTTTACTCAGCTTTGATATTTTGTATCTCAGACTACTTCACCTATCTGCCTAAAGGTATTCAAACAACTGTTGTCTGTCTTCGGATTCCTGCCTTCAGACTTCTGCTGTGACTTTGAACTCTTATTACAAAGTTCCGCTTTGTATCTACAACCATTCTGCAAGTTTTGTTGCATGTTGCTAATAAGGCTGCCTGTAACTCGGCATCTGCTGTGATGCTGAAAAGACTCTTGTGACACAGTACATGGGGTTCCATGGGGATGTTTGGTTCATGAAGGGGTTTTGTTTTGTTGTTTTTTTCCACTGGGCAAGACCTCCCCATTTCTTACGTTGATCTGATGTTGATTTCATTAAGGGGTTTCCAGGTGATTCTGCTCTCTGGGAATTTTTCCAGTGACTTCCAGAAAGAAGCTGGCCTTATCAATCCTTTTGTGCATCACCAAGCTGCCCTACTTTCAGACTTTTTCA